TCAGTATATTTTAAGTATATTTTAAGTATATGATGTATATTTTAAGTGCATTTTAAGTATCTAAACTTTGTGTAGGGATTCTAAAAAATAAAAAAATAAGGTTTCTCTGATCACCAAATAATTTTTCCATGATAACCATAATAATAATAATAATGTAATTTATTATTATTTTTATTTACATAAACACTTGCATCAATTATTGATTTTTTTTATGTCAAAATTGTTGTTTTGCCATTATTTTTACTCATTTATTAGTATCTGTACTAGTTTCAAAAATAATTTTGAGTTTCTAAAGGCAATTATAACATGATGTTGACCTGGATCAATTAAACCATAACCCAACCCGGCCCATTTCAGAGCTCTAATACTAAGAATTATAATTAGTATAATTTGATGGAAAAATCAATGAATAAATTTTTATTGTTATCTAAATCTAAGATGCACATAGCTTAACAGTCAACTTATTGCTTATTGTCTCATTTCCCCTACCATCTACAATCAGGTCAGGTTAAGTTTCAACCTGAATGTTTTAAATGTCAACCTGAGACCAACTGAAAGTTTCAGGTTGATTTTGGGTTTGTAAGAAAATTTTGTGATATACATAGATTAGACAAATTTTATTCACCTAAATTTTATTAGTTAAATATAAAAAACAAAATAGTTATATTGGTTAAAAACTACAATTGGTGCTGTGTATATGCAAAATACAATTCGTAGTGCAAGAGATGTAAGTTGTGATTCATGACACAAGATGTAATTCATAATACAAGACATAATTCAAGACACAAGTCTAGATAGTGGCTGGAACTAACTCATAACTTAGGCATTTAGGTAATTTTGGTTTATGCCTGGTTTCATCCATGAGAGTTTTCTGACAAATTGATGAAACCTAAACTATGGGCAAAACCAAACAGACAATTAATCCCTATTTGTTTAATTTCTGACCACAAAGTTAAGTTATTATTATTACAAAACAAATTAGATCATAATGTGACAATAATCATAATCTTTTATTTTATTTTGAATAATATTAAAACAAAAGAGACTATATAGGTCACATATGGCACTTTATAAATCTGTTTTATTTATCACAATATAAAACTTTGATCATAGTTTAACAATTTAACCACAATTTAAAGGTTTTGCCCATAGTTTAGGCAATTTTAAGCTTCATCACTACCTAAATTCCAAATTTCGAACCTATTTCAGGTTGGCTAAAACACCATCATTACACAAAGCACAATTCAAACTTTAACCGCATATAAAGCTCTTTATTTATTACATAAGGATACTGGCTGCAACTTTTGATGATGGTTGCTACCATCTTTGCATCATATAAAAACGATTGCAACCACTGGTTGCAACCACCTTTACAACCATTTTGTTTCCTTTTTTGGATTGCGACATGGAACACTATTATTACATGAAACTTTTTGATTTCTTTAATTTTTAATGTAACATCAATGTTTCATAGCCAAAAGGTTTTGTTAGATAATGAAACATGATTTTGTCATGAATTGTGACTTGCATCACAAATTTCATCTTGCATCAATTGTATAATTTTGACCTCAAGTATAATTGGTATAGTCCAAAAAGTTTCAGGTTTTGGTTTGGGATCAGGTTTTTTGATTCAGCCTAACCAACAACCCAAGTATGGCCTGAACTGAACCCAGCTTGAAAATTTTCAAGAGCTTTAATCTTTTGTAATAGAGCAGTGTTGTGGTGCCATTTATGTTTCCATAATTTCCATCAGAATATCCCAACTAATTTCAATTTCCCATTGGAATGTTCCAATGAAATCAACCAATGAAATTTAACTAAAATATTATATAGGCAAATTTAATTGACAAATCAATTGAAGATCTCATGGATTATATAAAGATTTACATAATGGAGTTGAAAAAAAATCTTTATTAGATGAGCACTTATGAAGTCAAGCTCACCAGTATCAGAAAGAAAAGAAACATATTTTACCAAATTTATCAGCATTGCCAATATCTGGAACATGGTTCATTACAAAAATATTTTAAATGATAAGACACACACTTTCCAATCAATCTATTGAAATGTTTTATGTTTTATGTTTCAATATTAATAAAATTACATTTTCATTCGGTATAGACATTTTGCACTGTATCAAAAAATGTTATTAACATATAACTTTTATAACATATTATGAATCAATGAACTTGCTGCAGAAGCACTAATCTCTACATCCCCAAAGTAAAGGTATAATACAACTTTTCACACAATGGTGCAGAGAAAAATTGACACAAAAATGGCCAATAAAGCTGAATAAGTCAATCATCTAATTCATAAGGAAATCATCAATTAATTATTGTTTGTTCCAAATAGTAAATGTTCTATAGAAATATCTTTAACTTTAATGGGCAATTTTAATATAATGATCAAAATGATGATTGGCAAATTTCAAAAATCAGGTATGTTTATTGAATTTTCATAAAATTTTTTAGACAAATCACAAAATTCTTGAGTTGATAGTTCTTCAGCTCTTAGATTTAAATTCAATTTTAATTCTTCAATGATATTTTCAATGAAAATTTGTTTATCATCTGGAAGATTTTTTTGTAAAGTTCTAAAAAAATATAAAACATGAATGTGTTGTTATTATCATCATTATCACTATGATTGTTTATAATTTACCTTAATATATTTCCTATTTGTTTTCTTCTCTTGTTAAAAAAATATTTAACAACCATCTCAAGTTGGTCAATTGGAACTAACAGTAATAAAATATCATTGTTAGTATTAGTAGTAATAATAAAATACAATAATATAATAATAAATTCACCATTTAAAACTGGGTTTGATAATAAATTAAGTTGAATCACTGAAGCATCAACCTAAATAAAAATATTTATTATTAATATTGTTATTTTATTACCATTGCTACTAATAGTAAAAATAAAAAATATTAAATACTTTCTTGTGGTTTGGGAATAAACACTGAAGAAGATAAATTATAAATTAATTTAGCATCACATAAACTTTGCACTAAAACAGATAGTCTACCCCTTTGTTTAGTTTTAACATCTGCAACTATTCTCTTTAAATATTATTTAATTGATCAAAAAATTAACAATATTATTTTGTAAATATATAGAATATATATATATATATATGGCAATAACTTACATTTCCAACTTCTTTTTGAAACATTAAAGTCATTGAAACGTGTGGTATTTTAAATATCCCAGATTTATTTGAAATCATTTTAATCCATTGAACTAATAACTTTGTTGAAATATTGAATGGTAGATTTCCAATTAAATATAGATTGGTAACTATTATCAAATTTTTTTTAAAAAAACAAGATAAAAAATAAATTAACATTAAATATATTATTAAGCTTTTAGTAAAATTAATATTAAAATATTATTACCAGGTATTAACTCATCAGTTATTTTGGCAGTTTTTAATATCAAATCATGATCTATGTTTAGTATGTCATCTTCTAATATCTTGATAATTGATTAATTAATAAATATTAATGTCTTGCCAACTTAATAAATTAAACTAAATTCTTTACTTTTAATTTATTATCTGATGCTTCTACTAATTGCATAAGAAAAGGTAAAAATCTACTGTCTTTTTCTATGGCAATAACATTTGATACACCAGTTTCTAAGATTGATCTAGTTAATAACCCAGGCCCTTGACAAAAATAAAAAATATTAATTGTTATTGAATGTCTATTTGTTTATATGATTTACATTATTAAAAATACCTGGACCAACTTCAATTGCAAGTGAGTTATTATTATTATTAATATTTGCATATTTAATAATTTTATCTAGATAAAAAAATAAAAATAAATATTTAATTTATTACAATTAATTATTAATTGTTATTTATTTTAACCTGTAAGATTTTTGTCAAGTAAAAAATTTTGACTCAATTGGTGTTTCGATTTTAATCCATAGATTTTTATCAAATCTCTAACTGATAACAATTTTGGAAGTATTTTATTGTTATTATACATAATTTGAGAATTTATCTTATGGGATCGACAAGTAGGGCAACAATTTTTTCTGTAGAAGTTACACGAATAATATCGTAAAGTACAAAATCACACGTGTCAGTTGAACAACGCGTCGAATTTTTAACATAACATTTGAAATTTTAGACATGTGTATGACGCGAAAATCTTTAAAATATTTTGAAATTTTTTTTTATTTATGATTATTTTTTTATTTATTGGTTAATTTTTATTTCAGTGTTATTAGTTATATTTTTCGTTTGTTGGTCAGTGAATTGGTTAGTTAGCTTGGTTAATCAGAACAAATTGTTAAGGAACAATTTATATTTAATAGGGTTCATATTGGAAAGGTCATCTAATAAAAACATTAAAATATAATTATTATAACAAAAGAAAAAATTATTATTATTATTATTATATTAACCGAGAACCTGTAATATATAAATACATATTTTTATATATGTATATAAATAAAATAATTAGTATATAACTAAAGAACTAACGTTAACTATTTTTTATTTTTTTTTTAAATTTGAAAAATTAAAGATTAAAAATTATATATATATATATAACCAGGAACTTCTTTCTTTGTCTATTAATCAACCAATTTGCCTCTTCTTTCTTTCGTAACTTCTATAACATTTCAGCTGATTTTCTTACTATACGTTGAACTTTCTTTTTAAATGCTGGATAGTTATCTCGCCATTCCTTCTATTATAACCAAATATAAATATGTAGTTATATACCAAGTATAATAAACATACGCATAATAATAATAGTAATAATAATATCATCATTATTATGAAAAATTCATATATATGCTTACAGCAGATTCAATGTTTGCAGGTGATTCATCATTTGGAGTTGAAAGCATAGAAATCACACTTAATAAAATCGTTTCAACTGTATGCACTGGCAACCATCTTTCGCCTGCATCTTCGTATCCAAATTTATCTTCACCAGGAGGATGCTATAATATAATAAATAAAATAAAGATGGATATAATATGAATGAACCAGGAATTATTATTTAAGATTAAGGTCAAGCGAGATTAATTATATAATTATGAAATATTTAATCATTATTATTTAAAATTCTAAAAAAATTAATATTTACCAAGATACTAATACAAACTTCACCATCAGGGTAAACTGTAATATCACGTGATTTAAATGGTTTTTAATTGCTTAATTAATGATACAATATAATAAACATTTATATTGGCACATGCGCGCACATATTCCGCTTTATATAACATACCATTAGGATGCCACATGTCAGATATAAATTTTAACTTTGGTGGTAATAAAGGATATTCCTGATAAACCAATTAAATAAGATTTCAATTCAATTTTTCATAAAATGAAATGAAATTATTTATTTGACATACCTTTGGAAATGACATTCTTGCTTTAAAAAATCCTCCTTCACTATTTTTTTTTAATCAACGATAAATTATATAAATTAATTATAGAAAAAAATTTTTTAAATAAAAATTAAATTTAAATATTTACTATAAGGTGTCTGCTGGACCCATAATCATAATTTCCCACTTATTAATTATTTATGATCAGAAAAAAGGTAAACAAGAATATTTTTTATTATTATTAATGAGCCTGTAACAATAACAGTAATAGTAATAATAGTAATAACAGATCATACCTTTTTTTTTTTTTTAATAAAGGAATATTTTTTGATCAGTGATAAATTTTCTCATGATATATAAATATGCTATAACAAGTAAAAACTTCATACCTCATACACGTTATCATTATCAACAAGTCCTGCTGAGAAACCTTCAACTGGATGTTTTGATAGTTCTTATAAATATAAAATATGAAATACGAAAAGTAGAAATTAAAAACACTTGAATTAAAAATATTTTTCTTTAAAATTTTTAGCAATAGAAACCATGCTATTATACCTTTTAGTTGTTTTTGAAGTAAAAGAGCAGATTGTGTTGTTGCCATTTTAAAAATTTTTTTTTTGATATTTTAAATTAATAATATATATGTTAATGTGTATATAAAAATAAAAATAAATAAATGTGATTCCGTAAAAAAAAAAATTAAGCAAATTAAATTTCTGTACAATATGCAAAAATCAAGTTCGTACCACTTTACCAAATTAGTAAAAAAAAGATGATAATGAGGTCATAGGTAGTAACGGGAGGGAGTTGTTGTGCTACTACTATTTTACTCTTGCTAATTTTTAATGTGGTTTTGTCTGTTATTGTTTTTTATTTATTTTATTGCTCTAGTTATTTTGGCAGATAATTAATTCGATAATTAATTCAATAATTAATTTGTAAGATCATTTTTATAATCTTTAATATTAATATTATATGGATTTTACAATTGGAACCAGAAAGTATAAATTAAATTTAAAGGTAGTAGGTAACACAATTGTAAATTAACCGATTGATCGCATAGTTGCAAAGAATAAGTTTTATAATTACAAATATATGAGGAAGTAAGTTAATAGTGTTGATTTTAAAGCAAATCAATTGAAAAAAAAATTTTCTCCCAAAATCAGACTCCTCGTAGGAAAATAAAACACTTCACTGATTAATAATGATATCATGTCATTGTACATAGAAAACATATATATAATGTATAATGTATAATGTATATATAAGAATGTTATACATATAAATAAATAATAATAATAAAGTATGGATTAATAGTAGTATAATGTAATAATGATAATAATATAGTAATAACCATCATCATCTTTAAATATTGATTATTTTCCTTCTCCCTCATTTCTGATTAATAAAAAAATGCACCCAAAATAAAAACCTTTTTTTTATTATTATTATTATTATTTATCATTATATCATTTATTATTATTATAATAATGTATATATGTGTGTGTGTATGTAGTAAAATAATAATATGTAAAAATTGTAAAATTTAATTATTCTAAATAATAAATGTCACTAATAATAATAATAAATAATGATAATGATGATGATAATAATAATAATAATAATATAAATTATCTATATATTACTTTATATAACATTTAAAAATAAAAAATTTTTTTTTTAGTTTTCATCGAAATTCAAATGATGGAAAAGAATTATCTACTAAATGATGCAACTTCAATTCCTGAAATCTAAATAAATATAATAATAAAATTATTATCATTATCACTGTTATCGATATTAATTAAATAATTAAATTTATTATTTTTACCTTTCAGAACTTTTATGAAAGTAGAAACCGGTAATGGTTCCTGTACTTAATTGATAACAAATATAATAAAATCCTGCAAAACTAGCACCATTAATTGTTCTAACACGATGATCAGGAACAAGAAAATGTTCTTTCCATCTCATAAAAATATAATCTTTATTATGAAAATCATAAACAAATCCATCTTTTTTCATATTTTTCTGAAGTGGTTTAAAAGCTGGGAAACGAACCTAAATTAATAACGGATGGATGGACAATTAATTATAAGATAATATTAGATTATAATAAGATTTTTTGTTATTGATAAAATTTATAATTTATAACTAATCAATCAAATCTGATTATTACCCAGTGTTGCATATCTATCTTATCATCAGCATCCCATTTTTTAGTTAGGAAGGAATATTTACGTCCAATGATTTCGGCTTCAAAGAATGTAGTTAATTCAGGATAATCTTCCGTTAAACCTTTAATATGAAGATATCCACATAGATATGATTCTGAAAGATTAACATGCTATACAATAATAATTATTAATATGGATTAAAGATAAATTAAAAAAAATTAAAAACATGGTATTAGTATTAATGAATCATTTGTTTACGGATTTAAACTTCGTATTACCTGAATATGAACTGAAACATCATAACTGCTTCTGCCACTTGTCTGTTCACCTCTAAACTTTGAGCCGGAATAAAGTGAACAAGTTGTAGTTGGCATTAATCTAACTGTTGATATTTCAGTTGTCATGGATAATCGTCTTTTCTTTTTTTGTATCAGCTCTTCTTGCTTTAACTGTTCTTGCAATTTTTTTTGATATTCTTGATAATGCTTATGGGAAGGATCTTGACAAACATCTCCATCAGCGCATACGTATTTGTCTGGCAAACCGTTTAAGCTGATGTTGATGGCGTTTGTTGTTGACGTATTTGATGTAGAATTATTGATGGTTGATGTTGTGGTGAGTAAGGGATTATTAAAAACGGGCATATTGTATTATTATTGTTAATTGTCGTAAAGTTTATATCAGTGATTGTTGTGGTAATGGTAATTTTATTTGAAGATGTTGGTTGATTTGGCGAAATTGATTTAATGAGGTTGATTTAATGGGAGTGGTAATGATTTGTGTTATATATATATATATAAATTGTTTACTAGAGTTGGTTTTTTTTTTTAATATAACAAAATTTTTTTAGTGACGGTGGATCTTCTTTTCCCTAATAATTTTATTTTTATTTTATTATATAACAACAATATTGATTAATTAATCAAGGATTTAAAGATTTTCTTTTCTAAAAAAATTTTTTTTACAGAAAAAAAATTTATTTACTTTAAAGGAAAAGATTATAGAGAAAAAAATCTTTTTTTTTTTTCTTAATCTTTGTTTTTTTTTGAAAAGAAAAATTTTTTTTATTTTAAAGAAAAATGAATGATGAAATTATGGGGGAACAAAAGCAGACAAATTTGATTGTCCAATAAAAGATAAGTTTATAATTTATGTCCATATGGGATATGGTGCAAGTCACCTACCTAGTCCACAACTTACTGCGCCACGACGACGATTTTGGAGAAAAAATTAAAATTGTTTGGTCATGTGATATTTCCTAGTCATTCCATAAATAGTAAAATCGGCAAGATCGTATTATATACTCGGCCATAATAATAATAATAATTTTTTTTTCAAAATGCCTCCCAAAATAAAAACAAAAAAGATAATATACTTGAAATGAGAAATGAGTATTTATCATAAGAGTGGTGGTTGTTGTCATTCATCACTCTAGTTTTTTATAACGAATAGTGATAGTGATTGCTGCTATTTGTAGCAATTATAAGAAAATTATTTTTAAAGAAAATGAATTCCTTTCGCTAGGAATAATTAATAAGCACAACATAAGGGCAGAACAGAAAGGGCTTTATAAAGCTTTAAAACAAAACAAGTCATTGAATGAATTATCCCTAAATATATAGATTGATGCACAATTAAATAAGGCCCAAAGGGAATTGATACAAGTAATTATCACATGTGGAAATGGTTCCTTTATCAAAGTCTACTCACCAACCACCATACCTTGTTCAACATTCAAATGGGATATTCATTATGGAATTATCAACCTCGTTAATTCATTGTAAGTAATTATTAATAATTAATTGTTAAGATATTATTATTTTGAATACCTTGGTTTAAATTTTAAATTGATTAAATTTAGAAAATATGTGTGGAAGTCATCTTCATACCAACATCAAAGTCCATTGATAAATGAACAAAGCTTTTCACATGATTTTACGAAGCCTATGGTTGATTTTTTTTTGTTGGGTGCTACCGAACTAGCGAGAAGATAGGACAGATTAAAGACTAGTGCTGTAAATTATGATGATGGTAGTAATTGTATTTATGGCATATAAAAAGTGGTTGCAATTACCTTTGTGACCACTTTTGCAACCATACTTTTTCCTTTTTTGGGTTATGGCACTAGTCTTTAGGATGGATGTGTCCCACAATCCACAAGCAATCATTATGATACGAACACGGGTCCAATAAAACATCCAGATTTTTATTCATATTTTGAAAATTTTCAATTTGAATTCAATTATGATATAATATTTATGGAAATTTCTTATGGTTCATTTTATGATGGAGACAATTTATTAAATCACATAAAAGAAGACAAGTTTTGTCTTGGAAGATTTATGAAGGATGCTTGGGATCATATTATTAAAAAATTTGGTGATTCCGATATTATTTTGGAAGATTTGATGGATTTAAGAATTATCGCATTCCACCTTCATGGCAAGATGCTTACTATTAACAATTGTTGATGATTTTATATCCATTTGCATGGATGATTAATAATTTATTTATATTAAATTACAGAAACCACAATGGATGTCTATGTGATGGACCTTGGGCTTAGACCACTACAGCAGATGATGTTGATTGATACAATTCTATTACCAATAGACAGCATTACAAGTGATATTATCACATTTTGTGATAAACTATTGAAAATTAATTGGTTGATCCAAAAAAACATAAGAATAATCAAGAAAATTGATAAAATTCTGGATGTTAAAAATCAAGTCACAGTAGAAACATCGTCGTATTCAGCACTAAAATTTACTTCATTTAAATCACCACCAGATAATAATTATTATTATTATTCGTATCAATAATAATTTCACAAGATGTTGGATTTTATAGATAAAGAATCAATAGTAGAAATAAATTAAGTCAGATCTTAACAATTGCTTTTATTATATTAAAAATATCTATAACAATTTAATTTAATAATATTCTCGAATCAATAAATCAGGCTAAATTTTTTAAATATCCTCAATTGCATAAAATTTCTATGTTCATTGTTCAAAAAATATATTTATTAATTAAATAATGAAAAAAAATGTCTAAATTATAAATTAATTACAATGTCTTTTTGAATTTTAATTAAAAATGTCCAAACAAATATAGTGATAATTTTTTTTTAGCTAGTAATTAATGCCTTTCATGATATTAAAGGCTTTAATTAAAAATTTTTATCTTTGAATTGCATCATGTATACGATGGAAGTATTGGAAGCAACATTATTTAGTGTAATTGCCATGCCCACTTTGCCCATTCTCTCAACACCCTCATCAATTATTAATAATTATTCTTTTGTGATGTGAAAGTGTTTCCAATGACAACTTCATATTAACATGCCCAAGATTTGTCCACACGCTTTAATCATTCTTTAAAAATAATTTACATTTAGACTCCATTAGCTGAGTGATGGTCTGTTCTAATTCACTTCTTGCTCATTTTTTTGAAGGAAAAGACAAAAACTAAATTCAATCAATTGATTGAGAACAAAAAACACCAATCCAAGAGTTAGTTGCTAGAATAGAAGTAAACAGATAATTAATGGAGAGTTAACTTACATGCTTTTAGATTTAGAAAGGACAAGTTGAAAAACTTGTGATTTTTGTTCTAATCATTATGGAGAGGATAATAAGTCTGTTAATCAAATAGTAGCTTGTATTAAAACAAATGGTAAATATGTTGCAGATGATG